GATCCGACTAACACTAATTTTATTGGATACTGTATTTAGACCTCTTTGATATCGAATATATCGCAATTGTGAAAAGTGGCACAAAGAAATGCACAAAATTTCATCAAAATGTGAATCATTTTACTGCTAATAGTCCAAAAGGTTGAGCCTTTAGAAATTGACTAATCCAAAGGTGAAACCATTCAAGAAATTTGAGCTTCCAATTACTAATCACTAATTTCACTAAAACAGTCATTACAAGCAAGAAAATAAATCTAGAACCTTTTGGTATAGAAGTGTCACACAATACAAAGTTAAAAGTTTGTGTTTTGTGAAGGCGAGTCTTGAAAAAGGAACAAAGAATTCCTACAAAAAATTTCATCAAAATATGATTCATTTACAAGGTGGAACCTTTCAGAGACTTGAGCTTCCATGCCCAAAGCAAAGTTTCTGTTCTTGACTTTGATAGCGTGTCTTCACTCAGTTTTTAAGTTACTGAGAATGAGTTTGGCTAAGATATCGACCCATGTGTCGGGAACACCCGGTAGGCACCAATGCATACAGTCTTGTCCCCATATCGCAACCGCGTCCTGCTTCCCTAACCAGATAGCAGGATGAGCATCTGCTCTGAATTCGCTTAGATGGGTCAGATCGAGTAGCTTGATCTCTGTGGTTTGTAATTCGTTCTTGATGATTCTGTTAATATTTCTTGCTTCTTTGTTCACTCCATTGTTCCTGGGATCAAACCACAAGTCAAGCTGTCTAGGTCTTAGCATCAACATCATTTTTCATCAAAACACAAGAAAATCCAATCGATAAAGAACATTTTCCACCATCTATGAGGAGAATCCCGAGAAGAAGCAAGGATTGAGATTGAGAAAACAGGACTTTCTCAGTAAAGCTCGTTAGCGTACCTGGTTTTTGTCGAGTGGTTTATCGAGCAAACAACTTCCATTCTGGTTCCAATCACCACCATAAAAATGCCTTGGTGATTGCAAGCGCCAGAACTTAAGGGTATTTGCTGGGACTTCTCGTTGGATATAAGAAACCATATGCTGAAGAACTACTTCAAATCCTTGCAATATTTCAAGAGGAGGATTTATCGGCTTTCCCTTTCGATAGAAGACAAGAGGTGTTTCTTTCGGAAACTTATCGTAACCCCACCTAAAACCCAAAAACCATCCCCAAATTCTTAGAATAGTTTCTTCACAAAGTTTGTAAACACAGAGAGAAAAAGAAACTCAACAGGTTAAGGAGATAATTATTTACCAATGGCCAGAGTTAAATACGAGAACATCGTAGAAGCTAGTGACGTTGATCCACTCATCTGCAGGAACATCAACATCTACTCGATAAGTTCCTTTCACTCCGTCTTGATTAGCTTCTGCAGAAGATCTCGGCTGCGACCTTTATCATATCAGTTTAAAAGAACATAAGGCTGGACAATTCAACATATACAAAACACATTCATTATGTTCTCAAGTCTCATCTATAACCTAACAGGTTCATGAATTGTAGACTTAATCTATAAGATATCCTAACCCAAAATCCTAAATTTTTCTGTTTACTAATCAAGACTTTGATCCTTTAATGAGCCAATTCACAAGATTTCAAACTGTGGAAGTAAGAATCTTACTGATATTTGGCAAGAAGAACAGCTCTGTGATAAGCAACAGTGACATTGAACTTAGGGAAGTAAGCTCCACGCCAAGCTTTCTTCTTCTTCCACTTCACAGCACTTGGATCAGCTCCTCTAAGTATACACAAGAACGAAACCAAGAAATTCTCGTTCAGAGAATCCCCAACGAACCCAATGTTCTTATTCCTCATCAACCCTAGAAATCGAGTCGGGTCAATTCGACTCAACCCGCATCCATCGGGTACCCATCTCCACGAATTGATAACACCCATGTTTTCTCTCTTGTTCCGTAAGCAATTCCAAGCGTTTCTGTGGAATGGGCAAGTCTCGTCGTACATCGGTTTCGGAGTTTCGGGTTTAAAAACCCATCGGCCGGAGAAGAGATCGCACGGCGGAGGAGAGACGAGGTTTGAAGTGATCGGACGACGGAGAAGGGTTACGGAATATAATATGAGTATGAGGAGAGAGAGGAGTAGAATACGAGGAAGAAGTGAAGATCGGAGCTTCGACGGCATCGTCGTGAAAATTCGTCTCGATCCAAACTCCATCGATTCACGCAAAATCTGAAGGAGAGAGACGAAGAAGAAGAGTCACTGCAAATCTTGGTTTGTTCCGGTTCGGTTTAAATTGCTCTTTGGTATATACTCTAGTTCGGTTTTCGGTTTGATTGTCACTTGGTTTGGGTTTTCGGTTAAAATCAGGAGCTTTTTATTCATGTGGTTAACTACTATAAACCAGATTTTCATAATTTGAAATTAATTAGTTAAACTGAAGGAAAAAAAAAACAGATTTTGTGGAGGGGAAATTGAAATTAAATGGATAGAGATGTGGATAATTTAAATGGATGGTTCAAAATGTAAAATACAGTTTTGGTTTGGTTCCTTTAGAGTTTTTGTTTTGGCTTGGTTCGTTTACGTGGTTAGAAAAATTACCAAATTATTTTATTTTATTTTGTAGAAAGTCGTTAACCATCATTGGTCCATTGCATGGTATCCAAAAACAATTAAAAGGATAATTACAGATTAGTTAATTAATAAAATTAACAATCATCAAAACTAAACCAA